TTACTACTTTTTCGATATCATCATAGGGTAGGTGACATCTTGGATTTAGAAAACAGTAAGAGAGAATAGAGGAAAGGAAAAACAACATCCCAGTAAAGTAAGAGTTAAACTGATGGAATAGTGATGGCATTGCTTGTTTGGTAAACTGGGTGTCTGTCTGCTGTCTGACTGGTGTTTTACCATGCATTACACATTGATAGGTGCCTATATCAATAGTACTTTCTTTCTCTGCTGTTCTGCAGGGGAATGTTCCAGACACGTTGCTTTCAAAAAAGGTAAATACGACTCTCTCTTAACTGTGAATATTTTATTTGAGTGAATTCGTTTTCTTCTTTCCCCTCCCCTCCCCTTTCTTGACCTGGTTTTTCTTCACAGCCCAGCGTTACATTTTGCAACCCCAACATTGCTACTAGGTGCTTGGCCAAAATTATACTGCCAGGGCTCACCCAAAAAATGTTGCCTGCATTCCACGCTATGATGAATTCAGCATAAAAAAATTCATATAAATCAATGCCAAAACACTGTTTATTCCTCTTTATCTGGTGTATTTTGATATGCTTAAAATTTAAAACAGAAATTACTCCAACTGTAAGTGACACACAGTTAAAGACTTCCAAGACTGAGTTAGTGAATAAAAGTCACAGGTTTGTAAGTACTTACCACTAGCAATAAGAATGTAGGGATCTGACAACAAGTCCTTGAGTGTTGGTTTAACAGTCTACAATATAATTTTACTTTTTTTAAAGCTGGAATATTTCAATCAACATTGATCTCCTTGTTTTGCTTTTACTGCATTTATAAATCTCTCACTTAAATGTCCAAATAAAATTAGTGTGGTTAATGTTTAGATGAGTTTGCCTAACAACCTATCTAAGGTAATTAATTAAGAAAAAGAAAACAATTTCTTTGTATCAATTGAATTATAGAAACATGAGTGGAGGTTTGAAACTCAGAGTATGAAAATGCTTTTGGAAGATGAGCTGCCTAGAAGTGTTTCCACAGCTTTTTTTGGCAGAAACCGTTCTGCAACTTAAAGAAAAATAAGGAAAATCACTTATTTCCATAAGTACATCTTGCCAGCTTGTTCTAGTTCTGTGTTGATATTCCAGGCTTTCTCTAAAAATCTACTAGCATTCTACACGAAGGCTGTTCTCTTAGTGGCTTCATTACTCACTATCTATTCTGTTGTAGATAGTGATTTCTATATGTGATAGAAATCTCCAGTCTACCTGAAAGAGTGTTTTAGAACCTGACCTACTTATAATTGATCTGTTAAATTTGTTAAAATGAGTAATTACAGATGTAGCATGTGCTTTCTCACAGGGTTTATTTTAAAAGTGAACATATTGATCATTATCATAAAGGTAACTTACAATGTTTGGCATAACTGGCTTCTTAGCAATGACCACCAACACTGTTTCACAAAAAGAAAAGTATGGATGAATGCAAGCTCACCAAAAAAGGTATCAGCAGGAGGGGGGAGGAGGGGTTTGAAAAAAAAGTTACTTAGTTGTTTGCCTTCAAAATAACTCCACAATAGCTAATTAAAAACCTTAACTAATAGTACCAAAGCTAATTAAGAACCTCAACTAATAATATCAAAGTAACATTTATTAAAAGTGAAATTTACTGATTAAAAGTGACATTTATTAAATCCCCAAAATGCTAATGATATTATCATCTCATCAGTAAGTCTGTGAGTTAATTAGTTACAGTCAGCAGAACCCTGCCTTCTGGTCACCTCGTTAATATGGTCACCTCATTATTATGGCCACTTTATTTTGTTCTGGTAAAATGCCCATACATTTTCTTATGAGCAAACCCTGTTAATGCAGCCACCCCATTAATACAGCCAACGGCCAAATTCTGAAATCCCATCCTGTACGATCTTTTATAACTTTACCTGTTTATATGGCCTCTCAAACCAGTTATGTTCATCTTTCCATTGTTTATGCTTTATACACCGATTCAAGTTTCAATGTTTTTAAAATTATACCTGCTTTCCAGATGCTTACTAAAGAACATAATATTCATTTTTCTTGGATTCTTGTTACAAGTCTACTGCAATAATGTATTCTTTGATGGCAGCAATGAAATTAGAAGTGAATACTTTAAATGTTGAAAGGGTTCAAACAATCATATGATACAAAGAGTACAAATGTATAGAATAGCAAAATAGTAAAGAACTATACAAACCAAATGTAAGAAAAATTAATCCAGCAAGGATGAAAAATGGAAGGCCTTTGCCACCAACAGCGTAGAACAATCCTCCAAATGGTGGTCCAACTGAAAGAAACAAGCTCTAGATTAATAAGTCATCAATCCTTTAAAAACATTATGTTACAATTCAGAGAACTCAGAAAGTAGTACACGTACTTCCAGACACTATCAGTCTGCTCGGTGTCTACAGGTACAGATGGACCCTGCCAATTCGAACTCGGTTATTTAGGATTCCTCGTTATTTTGAGCTCCAAATCATTTCCCTCATTTACTATCAGTTATTTCGAACTCCCGCTATTTTGGACTATGTTTCATTTCCCCTTGGGGGTTCAATTGTCTAGACAGTTTTCTATAATTATCGTGTGATATGCTTAAAGAACGTAAGGAGAATAATACATGTAGGTCTTTTGCATGATTATGTCACATGCTCAAAATTCACCCCAAGCCTTGATTGTGAGAAATGTTCTCAAACCTCTGGCACCTTCAGGTTGTTTTCACAAGGGTGTTCTTTTCTTCTTTGCTACTTTGGAAATTTGTTCATGATAAAAAATTTAAAATTTTAATTTTCTAACTGAGGCTTTGTGATAAATTTGCTAGACAAGTCTGATGTCAACATTTACATGAGCAATTAAATATTGGTTAAACTGCTAGGAATTTTTGTCTCAAATGATTTTTTTTAAAAACATTATACTAAAGCCTTCCAAATTATATACAAAATGCACTAAGGTTTGGTACCCCTCTGAGAACAGAAGAACTTTTATTTCATAAGAGAAGCGATAATTTCAATACCACTTACATATTATCAATAATATGTACTTACAGATTTTAGGACATTTCTCAGAAACTGTCATTTTCAATAAATACCTAACACTCCAAGAGCAGTTGTTCCCATAGCAATTCCTATAGCAGTACCACGCTCATCATCATCAGGGTAGGCAGCTGCAAGCATTGCTAAACCTTTAAGGTAACAAGACAAACAGAAATTTGTATGATCAAACCGAATGCACAGCTTGCTTGAGAAACATGAGATTTGATGACAAGAATTGCAATAAATGATGACTTAGCTCTTACACAGAGATCCAACATAATTCTTAATAAACGCCGGAATGACCTTTTTTAACGCAAAGACTGTTCAAGAAGTTGTCGAGGACACTTCAGTGATACTCAAGGTCTTGTTTACCTCAGAATCACATAAAACTCTGTTTATTTTAAGTAAGGAGGGGATACAAAATACCAAATATTCAAGACTCCATTGAATGTAGGCCAGATTGCGTACACTGCAAGGCACTATATTAGTGGAGCTCTGGCGGCCCAAACGGCCACCAAGTGGAGCCCCATACTCATATAGGAAAAATGGAAACCCATGAATTGATTTTCTCATGGTTATCATGGCTAGCGGTATTGCTCGTGGGCACGTACAAACGATGACGGAGTCGCACAAGATGGCAGCCATACCAGCTAAAAGGTTGACACATATGCAGCCTTAATTTATAGTCTCTTTCTTTGATATTGGACTTCCACGCCATGTTCAATTGACACTTGTCAAAACAAGGTATCTGCTGACCAGTATCATGTGACCATATTGCAGGCTCAAGTTTAGAGCACATTGAGGTTACATGTTTTTTCAAAGTTGACTGCTGACCAAGTGTTGGTTTTTTTTATTGGATCACGGGCTTATGTCAGGTTAACTTGTTATAAACAAGGCCAGGTTGTGTGGAAGCCGGTTAACGCTAGCCCAGGATTAAAAGTTAACACAGGTATAAATTTTTCTTGTATACAAATGTTTTTCACTGTGTTTGTTTTGTATATTTAGGGATTATTCAAACTCAAAACAGAAAGCAAAACAATATACAGAAAACCTAACCGTAAAGTTACACAACTCAAATCAAAATTCTTGCTTCTCTTGGGTTAGCTTAATTGGCCTTTGCACAACCCGGCCCAGGAGCTCCACTTTTAGGCTTAGCTAAATCTATATATCATACTTACTAGAAATAAGAATCAAAGAGGAACCTAATCCCTGGATAGCCCGGGCCGAGAAGAGAAGTCCATAACTCTCTGCAAAGGCGTACACTAAAAGCACAAGAAACCCATTATCAAAATAAGCTGTAAAATTATTTCTCTTAAACATTCTGCAGAAAGCCTGTATGGCAATACTCAATCGTTGACTATTTTGCAACAGATTAATAAATATACTGTGTCTTCACTTTTACGATTATTGTGTATTAAGTAATATAATTTATTATTAACATTTATTATTAACCAGTAGTACCAAAGTTATCACCTGTAGGCTTTGATTATTTTGAGTGATGCAACATTATTGATCATTTGCAACATGTTTAATTAATTTTGAAAGAATAATCCCATTTTTGATAGTCACTAAGAAATCAACACTGTACAGGTTATGGTATTCTCTGTTGTGGCCATCTTTCTTTACCAAAATACATGCAATCTTGTGATAATCTTGTTGTACATTCTGAATTAGAGTTTTGCTGGCCATTCATGATTGGAGATGTCTCTCTTGAAAGTAAGCAACCAGGGGGGAGGCATCAAAATTCATCATCCTACAGGTGTTGGGCCATATTGTTATTTGGGGTTTATTGACATACTCATTTGTCATTTGCTGCTGCCAAAATACAATTGGTAAAATAATCATTGATCAAGTTTGCCTAAGTGTGATCATCTCCAAGCAAGGATAGTTCTGAAAAGAACATCTACAGGTTGATGACTCACATTACGACCACCTGAGCAGAAGTCAACTTCAGATGTAGGGTGAAAACTGTTTGTCAGTTTACGGTATTATAAGTCTGGTCCTTTGAATATAACCGGTCAGTTTAGCCGTTAGGCTATTGGCTGTAAGATTAATGTAAAGTTTGCCACCAGTCATTATAGCCAGTTTTGTAAGTTTTGACCTGTTTATTGTTAATCAAATGTTCGGCACTGTGATTTTTGACATCACCATTTCTTGCCAATAATATTATTAGTGGTCAGTCAGTATTGTGTTAAGGTTTCTGCCAGTTTTGTAGATGTAGGAGGCCTGCCAGTCAGAGAATTAAATCTAGTAAACTGCTCTTTCTATGGTTTGGTTGGTCCCTGACTTAAATGTTGGTAAGTAAATGTTGTATTGAAGACCTTATGGATTTGTAAGGCTGTAGGATCTGTAAGATGATCTCAGAAGAGCCCTAAATGTAGGACCTGGTCATTATCTAATGTAACTCTTGGTGAGTGTTCCCTCACATATGCAGTACCAAAGTTTTGGAATGCTCTTCCCCTTGACATCAGGTCTGGGGACACTGTTGCCAGCTTTAAAGGAAAACTGAACACATACTTCTTTGTAAAGTGTTTTCATAAAATCGAAATAATATTGTAATTTTCTGAGAATTTTAGTTTTTAAGTTTTATATTATCTTATTCTATTTTTTCCCGCCTTTGATAACCATCACTTCTGTGATTTAGACTAGTTAGCTGTAATTGTAATTCTAGGGCTTGTAACTTATAGTTTTAGATAATTTGAGTTGTAATGCGCATTTGAACATATCCATATCAAATTTGTGCAATGCAAATTCTTCATTATTATTATTGTACTAACAAGGTGTCAGGATTCAGTTTGTTTAGTTACTTCAAGTCAGTCAATGAGTGTTTGATCTAATAAATTTGGTATCATATGAAGCTGTTGTTCAAGTTATTGGTTTTTACCAAATAAGCTGCCTAGTGTTTCACAAATTTTTGTTGCATCCTGGTTTCAAACCATTATCTAAAAAAATGCTAAATAAAATAATATTATCTTAATTATGAATTGATATTATTCCAAATTAACTTAGTAATAACAAAAAGTGTGACTAATCATTACCAAGAGTTGATATAAATAACACACAGAAACCACTGTATAATGGGATGCTGTAACCCACCCTGAAAAAATAACAGTCACATAACTATAGAAACCAACTACTAAATAAAAATCACTCTGTTAATCTTTTTGAACTCTCTAGTATTGATTTGTCTTGAACACTGGAATGCTGAGCTAAGATTCAGGATCCTTTCCACAAAATTAATTGTTTTGATCTTTGGTCTCATTAATACAAGTGAATGCTCTATCTGGTCAACTGACAATTTTGTTTACAGTGAATTAAACTGGATGTTCTTTTGCCCACATTACTTGGTCAGTCAACTGTACCTGGCAACATAAATGTTTTCTCTCTCTTTGAAACAGAAGTAGTATCATTTCAATTTCAGTACAACTTAGGCTCTAACACAAAAGTAAATCCAGTTAATTAACTAAAAGTGCCTTGTTAAGATTTGAACTTATAAATTAGATGTGCAATAACAGTGACACTGACTCCATATAATTCAAATTTACAGCTGCTGGCTTTTCATACCTTTCTGTTAAATACCCAGCACCTGGATTCACCAGAATCTGTGAGAGATATTAAAACGCAATTTAAAGAAGATCTGCACAAAATATACACAATATAAAGTTAACTAGGCAAAAGCCTACTTCAATTTTGATTAGTGTAAAGTTTCATTTATTACTTAAGTATTGAATAATTTAAGTGAAGTTGAAAAACTAAAGACAAAGCAAGGATAATAATTTATTATCATTTGTTGATATAATTTATCCACAAAGCAGCAAGATTGTTACAGGTGTGAAGATCAAGGCAACAAGTGAATCATAAAATGCTTACAGCCCTGTTTTACATTACTTCACTTGACTAGTAATAATGAGGTTCATAAATTTATAATTTAACATACCTGAACAAAGGCTTTTGATGCAAATAATGCTCCAATTTTAAAATCCATAGATGAATCAGTTGTCACTAACGAGGAAGCAGTGGTAAATGCACTGTTTTTAGTTGAATTGTCAGCAGTTATTGGTGCCCCATCCATTGGTTTGTCAGTTATGTCCAAATATACTGGAATAATTGGTACTGAAATGAAACACAACAGACGACTTATTAATAATATTGTGACAATTAAGATAGGTCTGCAATGCATACATGTATCTTCTTATTTTGTGACATAATTATTACCTTGGATATGTGCATAATAGTCAATTTATGTTTCAATAATATGTTAAAATTTTTCTCACATTTTGATTGGTTCTTAGTTGACGACAGATGAATAGATTTTGTCATTTTATATGTTTCCTTAGGTTGTCTGGAAAACCCGAATAGCGAATAGCGAATACCGGTAGTCGCAAATAGCTAACAGGGAATAGTCCCGAATAGCGAATAGTACAAATAGTGTGAATAGTGGTGAACAGTCTCAAATAGTGGCGAATAGTGGCAAATACTGGCAAATAGTGGCAAATAGTAACAAATAGGGTACCCAGTATCTCACAGTCAACTTTGTAGCAGCCTAGGATGGGATTTTTTCCGCTAAAAAGCACAGGCACCTATCAGGACAAAAGGTGTTTCTAAACGTAATTTCTTCTGTTTTAACCACTGCAAAAGCGTAAATACGTCTTTAATAGGTTATCCTTGTGTTTTCTGTTTTTTTAATGTCGGCGATGGACAGTCTACTAGCCTGAGTCCGGAGAAGGAAAGGTAATAAATTCACTGAAATTCTGTTGCTTATTTGGATGATAAATTAACACTGGATATTAGATCTAAAGCGGTGACTGTTGACGACTATTTGTCACTATTCACCACTTTTTGCGACTGTTCACCACTATTCGCACTATTCGAGACTATTTGCACTATTCAGGACTATTTGCTATTCGCTATTCGGGTTTTCCAGACACCCATTTCATTATTACGTAAAACAAATAGACTCCATGTCGTTGTTCCTCTGTTCCGTAAATGATCACAGAAGTCAAAATCCTGTAGGAACATCATTGACACACTTGGCTATCCTGCCACATTTTTGCTCTAACCACATTTTGACGTCATCTGTGATCAACAACAACAACAACAACAACAACAAGCTTTATTACCAAATAAAAAAAAAGTTAAACTTTACAATATAATATATTAATACAAAAAAGAGGTAATGTTTACTCAGGATAACTATAAAGCTAATCAAGCTGAGTAAAACTATTACTGAAAAGGCACATGGCAACTTGGAATCTATCTGTTGAATAACATTACCAATATATCTGATGAGTACAGTGGGTTAATACACATAGAAGGGATAGATTTATGCTAGTATGGAAATGCAGTTAGGATCCTACCTGCTGGCATTTGGTTTCAAGATCAAGGTTAGAAAATTTGGATGACATTTATCATTAAGTAAAAAAGAAAGAACTTAGCCAGAGAAATCAGAAAAGACCTCAGGCAGTTACTTTTCCACCTTTCACCTGCTATAATAATATTATTGTAACTATGGTTAAAAACTTTTATTATAAAAATAAAAATTTATAACATTTTTATTGTGTTTTTTTTTTTTACAAAATAAATTATTTATTTTACATCCTGGCAAGTAGGATAGCAAATCATTAGATTGATCCGCTACTTTCAAAAGTAATATAATCCACTGATTTAAATTACTATAAAAATAATATAATCCACTGCTTTCAAAAATATTATAATTTACATAGCAGTCATAGATTAAATTGAAATTCAAATATCAGTCTGTTATTACAACCAATACCAAGCACTAGTGAAAGACAGACCTTATCACAGGTTTGGAAGCCATTTTGATGGGTAGGCAACAGCGTCAGATATTACAGTGTTTGTATGGGAATCCAAATGGCAAATCATTTTCTTAAAAATTGAATTCTAAAGTTAAAACAATTTATGAATAGCAAAGTTTTAACTACTAGACAAAGGAGTACATTAACCAAATCTGAGGGATGTATCTTACCACTGGATTCCCATACAAACACTATCATTTCTGACGCTGTTGCCTACCAGTAAAGGTACCTTTCAAAACCGCAACAAGGTCCATTATCAAACAGTATAAATAAATAGTACACTCAAATAGGATAAATATAAATATCAATTCAAACAGTTAAAAAAAAAACATTTAAGTATAAAACAGGCACCATTCTTTTTCAATGACATCTGGACAGGGGGGTGGGAACATAAGTGTCAAGGGATGAAGAAATCTTAAGCCAATATGTGTAACAATTCCTATTAGAGGTATTGGCCATCATAAATCATGGCAAAAGATCTTCTGCTACACTACATGTTTTGGAAGCAAACATGGAACACAAAGAGAAAGGTACCCTTCAAGAAGGAGTGGGGAAAGGGAGGGAAAGACAGGTGGGCAGGTGGGGGAAGGGGAGTGAATTGAAGTTCACACCATTCTGTCTCCATACCCCTACTCTGCATTTCTCAAACCTTAAAATATTTCCTCACAATAGCTACAGTTAACAAGAAATACTTGTTTTCTTACCAATAACAGACAGCAGTAGGCAGTCACACAAAGCGCATAAGCATGTTATCAACAGGATTAACCTCTTTGAAATATATGATATTGGTGATTGGATCGTGGGAGAGTCTTCCATTGCTTGCAGTTGACTATCGAATGGTTCACATTCCATCCCGTTATCTTCAAGGGAATCACTGTGGCTGGAGACCATTGTAACTTACGGCTAATAGTTCGGTTCTTTAACAGCTGAGTAGTTGTTCAAATTGAGGGAATTTATTACTGACTTTCTTAAGACTTTACTGGCAGCTGCATATCGTGATGCAAGAATCATCGTTTCCAGTGTTGTTCATTTGCGGACGAGAGTAGACTGGGTACCGGTCTGTGTAAATGCGCAGATTTCTTGCTAGAGAATGGATTACTTTCTAAGTTTGCTACAATACGAGTCTCAAATAGATGATTATTTTGCATTAAAAAAGAAAAATACGGTACTTTGTTTGCTCACAGTCCCCTTGCCAAGAGATTTTCATTATTTTTGCGATTTTGGCGGGAACTTTTTGATACATCTGCGCATCTGCGCGCTTGCGTGCTAGTTTCAGTGAGAAATGAGCAATCAACATTGCTCTTCTTTTCAGATTGCACGATTGCTATGGAAAAGCGACATAAAGATACAAAGAAAAGAGCCTTGGATCCTGATTATGGACTGAAAATGGGACTCGCCATCGGCGCCTTTTCTTTGCAATGCCGTTCGGACATTTCCCGTTGTTTACTGTCGACAGTCTGTAGCGCCAAGGGGTGTAGGAGTGATTGTCAAACGTGTTTTGGTGCCTGTTCAGGTGAGAACAGTGGCTTTATGTTAAGTCTCAGCTGCGGTTGTGGGAATATTTGTAATCTAAGTATACTGATTTGGAATGGGTACTCAAATTATTTCGCATTATTGAACGTAAGCGTATGTAAAACTATATTGAGCCCCGATCTGAACCACTGCGCAAATTTGCGCACATTCGTGTTCAACCTTTCAATGTTTGCTCTTGTTTTACTTACTTTTCGAAGGATTAAAATTTATTCTAAAGCTTATTTACCTGTCAGTTGAAAGTTAGATGTCGTGAAAGTGATAATGGCTCAAGAAATATAGTCTTCTGACGTGCTTTTAACCTGGGAATTCGATTTGATAACCTAGAAAGATTTCGTAACAAATTTAAGAGGGAGATCACTAAAGGTTAACCTGATTAACAGAACGGTTATTGGTTAACCACGTTTTCTGCGCCCTATATTTCCCTTTTGCAAAAGCTTACTACAGCAAGTACCTTTTGAGAAAAGATAAAGCAAAATGATATTGTTGCATTTGTGGGTTGTAGTACAGATTCTTATGGGTCCCGCGTGTATCAATGGTGTGTTCACTGCTTAGAGCAGGGAGAGAAAAATGTCGGTATCCCCTGACCCACGAAAAGATGGCAGGGTAACGAGGAGGAAAAAAAAATAACTTCCCTCTAAACCTCTACGTCTGGATAGCGGCACCCATGGTTTCCCACTGTATCAGCTTATATGATTCCCTTCAAATGAAGCTAATGACCTATACGACCTCAAAAGAGGACAAAAGGTACCTCTCAAGTTATTTTTAGTCATGGTACCCAGTTCTCCCGTATATAACGTTACCTCGCGCGATGGGTGGATGATTTCGTGAAGCGTGAAAATGCACGTAAAGCAGCTTCTGCGCTGTCCACCCGAATTAAAATTCGTGTCACGGGATTGGGATTTCCGAAACCAAGAGTGATCTTAAAATAATTTGAGGGAGATTGCCCTGGGAATAAGGCCTATATAGCGGATAAACTTTCTTAGACCTCATACTTTCTTGGTGACCTATTTGGGTTCCCATCTTGAGTGTTTCACACTAAGCCAGAGAAATTTGAAAACGCAGATTTATTCCTACGGTGAGGCCTACTGTCACATTAATCCGTCATGAAAACGGAGCTTTTCGAAGACACTCTTCAAAGCGGAGGAATTTGGAAACGCTGACTTTGCGTTTTAGTGTGCAAGGAAGACATTTTAAAAACGGAGCTTTTCGAAAACGATGAAGTCACGATCGCGAGAATCACGTGATTTCCCTGTCCGAGGTTTTCCCAAACACAAATCCAATATGATCGGTTATTGTTGCGTTTTCAAATTTCTCTGGCGTAGTGTAGACGGAAAACATATGATGCGTTTTCAGAGTGAAACCTTTTTCAAATTTTTCCGGCATGGTGTGGACAGGGTCTCAGAATGATTCAAGTCCCGATCGTGGCCTTTGCAAATCGCACTCGGCGTGTGAACTTCTAAACGCTGTCCCATATCAGAATCTTGAATCGACGAACGTTCCATCCTTACTGAAACGCTAAAACAAAAAAATCAACAAAGCATTTTTTGATGAAATTAATGAAATATACTCGATCGTGAACGGTGATTGGCTCTCAATCGTGCGTTTACGTAATTATTAAGTGATTGGGAGCACACTGTAATTGGTTGTAAATCATTTATCATAACTTAATAAAACATAGAAAATTATATTTCGAGCTTCTCAGTCATAAAACAACCCTTTTTGCCATATAGTTCAGGAAAAACTCTGGAAGTCTGGTCGAACTCGAAAGAACTGTGATACGCCTCGGTGTTTACAATGTTTTTCTCGTTCTCCCGGCGAACTTACAATAGTCTCACAAGACCAATTGTGCTTTAATAAGTCAAAGTAGCCAAGACGGTTTCGAATATGGTCATGCATATACAGAGATCAGAGATCGCGCAAGCATTCCGAACTTTCTCACAGGAGGAATGTCAATAAGGCCCAGTTCATACGTCGCATTTCTGCCATGTCGAATTCAATTCAATTAAGTGCGGCAGAAATGCGACTGTGGATTCATACGTCGCACTTGTGTCACACTTAACTCAGGATTTATATTGTCGGATATGTCGGTCAGCGGAAAATGCTTTAAACGTAGAGTATTC